CCACCCCCCTTCCCTGGCCGGGCGGGGAGGGCTGGTGGCCCCGAGCCCACCCAAGCCGCGGGTTTTGGGGCTGTCCCCATGGCTGTCCCCCCCCCTGTCCCCACCCCTGTCCCCCCCTCCCCTCTCGGTCACACCCAGCTCCTCCCCCCCGCCTCAAATCCAGCTCGATTTCATCACAATTTGGGTTTATTCTCCAAGACCCCAATCGCAGCAGCAGCAGCAGCCGGGGACTCTGGGAGGGGCAGGACCTCCTTGGGACCCCCTTGGGACCCCCTGGGGACCCCCTGGGGACCCTCGGGGGGTCACAGGTTGATCCCCATCAGGTTCACCGGGCGCCCCCCGTAGCGCTTGGAGATGTCGGCCTCGATCTGCAACGACAGCGGGAGGGGGCTCAGCGCGGGGAGGGGGGGGGGGGGCGGGTCCTTTTTTTGGGGGGGTTTTTTGGGGGTCCCTCACCAGCTCCTGCAGCTCCTTGGTGGTCTCCTGCAGCTGCTGCAGTTTGGGCTCCAGGGCCGCCTGCTCGGCCAGGGCCTGGCGGCGCCGCTGGGCCAGCGCGTCGCGTTTGGCCAGCAGCAGCTCGGACTGCAGCAGCTTCTGCCGCAGCAGCGCCGTCACCCGCTCCACGTACCTGGGGACAGCGGGGTCACCGCGGGTGGCCTGGGTGGCCTCGGGTCACCTGGGGTCACCTGGGGTCACCCTGCATGGGCTGGGGTTACCTGGGGTCACCTGGGTTACCTGGGGTCACCCTGCATGGGCTGGGGACACCTGGGGTCACCTGAGTCACCTGGGGTCACCCTGCATGGGCTGGGGTTACCTGGGGACAGCGGGGTCACCTAGGGACACCTGGGATGGCCTGGGGTGGCCTCGGGTCACCTGGGGTCATCTGGGGTGGCCTGGGGACGGTGGGGTCACCTGGGGACACCTGAGTCACCTGGGGTCACCCTGCATGGGCTGGGGACACCTGGGGACAGCGGGGTCACCTCGGTCACACTGCACAGCCCCCCTCGTTGGGGCTGGTTTGGGGCTGCTTTAGGACTTTTTAGGGGCTATTTTAGGGCTATTTTAGGGTCTGTTTTGGGGTCTATTTTAGGGTTATTTTAGGGTCTGTTTAGGACTATTTTAGGGCTATTTTAGGGTTATTTTAGGGTCTGTTTAGGACTATTTTAGGGCTATTTTAGGGTTATTTTAGGGTCTGTTTAGGGCTATTTTAGGGTCTGTTTTGGGGTCTATTTTAGGGCTATTTTAGGACTATTTTAGGGTTATTTTAGGGCTATTTTAGGACTATTTTAGGGCTATTTTAGGGCTATTTTAGGGTCTGTTCAGGGCTATTTTAGGACCATTTCGGGGCGGCTCGGGGCCGTTGCAGGTACCTGGGCGAGGCGAGGATCATGCAGAGGTGCTGCACGCTGGGGGAGCAGAGCTGGCCCAGCAGGTCCCGCGCGGTGGCCAGCTGGGCCCGCAGCCGCTGGCCGCTCTGGCCCTGCAGCACGGCCGGGGCCAGCTGCAGCTGGCTCATGGCCACCACGTCGGCCTCGTCCTCCAGCTCCAGCAGCCGCTGCGCCAGGAACAGCTCCAGCTGCGGGGACAGCGCCGGGATCGGCGCCGGGATCGGCACCGGGATCGGAACCGGGATCGGCACCGGGATCGGCGCCGGGATCGG